CCCCGCCCCTCCTCCCCCCGTTCGCGAGACCGACCGAGCCCTCTCTCCGATCGCGAAGCTGCGGCCGAGGTCCGTACCCTGCCACGCGAGCTGCTCCTCTGCCTGAAAGCTTCGGCTTCCCCCCGCGCGACTCTTGTCGCTTCTCTTGGCTCGGCTCACCGCTCATGTGAGTGCAGGTAACTTCTTCTCCTCCCTTCTCGCTATAAAAACCCCATTTTGGGAGTTCCTTATGGCCGAAAATTTTTGAGAAGGGATAGGTGCTGCCAAAAAAATTCTGAGTTCTTTATTAGTTGTGGCATTTGCTGTGGAATTCCTGGATCTCTCTCTCTGGCCTAGAGATTCTTATGCTTGATTTTCTTGCTCATCAGGAGGTAATAATTCTTTCCTTTTCCCCTCCATTTTGATCAGCTTGGCCTGCAGAGGGATTCTTAGTCTTGCAAGTGGCTTTTGATTAAACAACTGCTATACAAAACTTTTGTGTTCGCATAGCCGAATCTTATATATGGTTGCTTTTCTTCTTCTCTTGCCAACTCATCCGATATTCCTTTTTGGCTTACCTTTTGCTTCAAGCATTGCACATTTGTGCTGTGAATGTTACCTGCTCTACCTCGTACTATTGGTGGGATGTTTTGCTTAAATAAAGGAAAATTTACGTGACCAGGGTGCAGTTCTATGCGTCTATATATCTCACACTCAAACTCCTATATTTACATGTATAACACTTTGAAGCTTTGGACATGAAAAAGGTGTATTACGCCCTTTTGAAGTTAGATATTTTGATATGCCTTCGATGATTCAAGCGACATATATATGATATACGTAGGTATGTTTTGACATGATTGGGATGAATCTGTGCACTTGTGTTTTGATTTCTTATTTTGAAGAAGATGTATGTACATGTCCAGATTTTGGTTTTCTTTTGATTTCATATTTTGAAGAAGATATATGTACATGTCCAAATTTTGGTTTTCTTTTCCCTATGACCAATTTGTACATACTCATCTTTGTTTCTTCATCCCAGAGCGGACATACACATGCAAATTTTCTCCACCCTCATATGCCTATATACATAATACTTGTTTCCTCAACTGTTTAAGTGGTTCAGACGCTGCTCTTCACGTTTCAAATAGCTGGCTTATGCACCTATTAGGACAAATATGTTTTTTTTAATTCTTTTTCAATTCGGTTATCCATGATGGCTAGTGAGCATTGGTTAGATAGCAGTGCAAAATTTTTTTTTTTTTGCTGCTGCTCTCTCTCTAATTGCGGCAGGGAATGCAGTTATGTGAACTTATTACATGGTTGTTAGATGAATTTCTGAGAAACATAACTAGTACATGCTACTTAATTCTTTACGTATGCGCCACTCAATTCTTTACATACATATCACTCAATTCCTTACATGCTTGTTGAAATTTTAAAGGCATCGAGAAGCTTTTATTTGCTGTTGATGCATTCCCCATATCAGAAAAAGATGTCTGAAGCTATCAAAGATTTGAAACATTTTGATATTTGAACCTTGCTGTAAATCCCACTTGAATGCCAAGATCGTTAAGCAGTCTTTATCATTTGCGGTTCATAATCTATAGAAATGTGGCTGGGGGGATTTTGTTGTGATGATTTCTTGTCTGGCAATATTAATCTTTCTAATCCCCGTCACTTGGAATTGCCCCTGATTGTATTTTCTGGTGTACCTGGAATTGAGAAATTAAAGTCGCTTCAAGAACTAGATGAGTTTAATGGTAAGAATGAGAATGGTTACATAATTGGTGAATTGGAACATATGAGCGAGTTGCGCAAATTAAAATACATTTTCTGAGAATGTGAGGGATGCTAGGGAGGCTCGCACAACAAAATTGCTTGAGAGGAGAAAACTCCGATTTATTCTTGAATTGGGACAGAACTATTGATGAATGGGAATCATACAGGGGAGTTGAAAGCCTACACACCACACGATTCTTTAGCATTTACACATCTAACACCCAAATTTCAATTCTCACATATGTGTTATCTTGTCTATGCATGCAATTGTGTTATTTCTTTTGGACTATCAAAAATTTCGGTGGTATATATGTAAGTGCTGCATATGTAAATACTTGAGAATTGCATGGTTTGTATGTAAATTTCCCTTAGTTCTGTTTCACTGGAGTTTGAATTCCAGATTTTTAAATATATAAGGGCTGGATGGTTCGTATGTTTGTGCTGAGTTTTTTTACATATATGAATGTTATGCAGAATTTAGCGTCTTGTATACTCGTCACCTAAACAAATATACATATGAGTGCAAATTTCGCTTGATCCTTTATGCATTTACATACATACCATGCAATTCTTATATATTTACATATTTAACACCCAAACTTCATTTTTACACACATGTCATTCGAGTCCATTTGGATATCTCTTTATATAAATTGTTGCTCGAACACTTTGGGAGATAATTTTGACTAATGGTCTTGGTATTTATTGGAAGAAAATAAGAGGTTGAAATTTCTTTTGGGTTCTTAATTCATGGGGATTTGGAGGTGCCGCCTTGGGCTTTGAAAAAGATTTACATGTGATACTTGTGTGAGAATTCTGAAACTTCGGGGAGTTTACTTTTTGGAAATAAAAACTTGATCATTTTATTTATGAGAATTTCTAAAGTTTTGACGAGGTTGACACTATGTAAAATTTGAGGTTGTGTGGGTTGCTTTAATTGAGTTGGGAGTTTAGTTGGCTTTCTTTGGGCTTCTTTTGAGCTGCAGTTATGAGGCTCTGACGGTGACATTTTCGATACAATATGAAAGATTTGGATGACGTGAGTGCAACATTTAGGTCTAGGCTTGGGTGTGTGATTATGTAAGTGGTGGCGGAGCTGTGTATAAAATCGTCGCATTGATTTGAGCCCGTTTCGACCTGTTCGAAACAAGATTTGGAAGGGATACCCTTCTTGGGTTGATCTAATTATAAAAATTAGAGGAAATGATACCATCTTGGGTTGATTCGTGGATCGTTGAGTCTCATTTAGTGAGTCAGTTTTGTGGGATGACCCGCCTCCGTTACGTCGTGGTTTATGCGGTATTCTTGGGTTGATCTAATTATAAAAATTAGAGGAAACGATACCATCTTGGGCTGATTTGTGGATCGTTGAGTCGCATTTAGTGAGTTTTGTGGCTTTTGAGTCGCATTTAGGGAGTCGTATTTAGTGAGTCGGTTTTGAGGGATAATCCGCCTCCGTTACGTCGTGTTTTAGGCGGTATCATTTCCTCCTCTCTCTCTTCCTTGTCTTTAGTCCTTTGTTTCTCCTTGCTTCTTGGCCTACGTCACGTGCCTATATAGGACGCATAGGTGCGCACGTATAACACTCTTGCTATATGTGGGGCTATCAAGCAAGATTGTAAGTGGAGTGTCTGAGGTTAAGAACGATGATAAAATTGCATTATAGAGAATCGAGTCCCTTAGAATAGTATCTCCCAACTCAGAGACTCTGGAGATGGTAGAGTAGTGAATTTTTACAGATACTATTCGCCCAGCCTTGAGATTTCTACCGCCGGCAATCTAAAGTTGCTAGCAGTCCTAGTTCGACTAGAATATTCAACTTGTGGATCGAATTATTTTTTTAAAAAAAATATAAAATATGTATATAAATACATTTGAAAAGTACAAAATCACCTCCACTATCTACTTACCTACGACTTTTAATTGCATGCAGATCCAGACTGAAATGTATGAAAAATTTTACAAAGGTCCACGGTTGGCTATTCGAGTCGGATTAGGGCTGCCTTCTGCAGAAAGTCGGTTTAGTAGTCAGTACTTAAGGTTGTGGTCTACAACACAACTTTGAGTCCTCCTCACCACCAAACTTACGGTCTTTTTGAACTTGTAGTCTATTCTGGTGTTTTCTTCGTTTTTGTTCTTTTTTTCGGATTGTCTACAAGTTTACCTCTATGAATTTATTCAGATTTCCTACGAACTTTGTTTTGTTTCCGATTTTTTTACGGAATGTTTCTTTTCGACTTTTTCCGACTTTTTAATTCTTTTATTTCGTTTCTCCTACACACATTACACACACACATGCCCAGTGTAGTTTGCTTATTCTATCTTTCGGTGTATATTCTTCTGCCAGATGTATAGTTTTCACATTACCACTGCATGATTTCATTGCACATTAACATGCTTTTCTCTTACACTCTCCTCTAAATTAGGATGCAGCAGCAACTCCTAGGTGGTACCTACGATAAATTGGTGACCTCACCTTTTGCATTATTTCAACTTTAAACAACTTGAATACTAAATTTGACGTTGCAATGATGAGGAGCTTGGAGCAAATGCGGTGGGCAGCACGACCATCTCAAAATATGTCTACATCAACAAAACCTTTTCTTAGAATTAAACAACAAACCATAGGATTTTGAGGTAGTCTGCTTAGCGCGACATAAATCCTCACTTTATCTTTTAGGCATTTGCACAACCAGACTGTGCAATTTAAGCCTTAACTCGTTCTAGGTTCTGAGGTTGTCGTCCGATACGACGTAAACCCTCATATTTTCTAGGCGACTTGGTGACTGTGTCACACAAATATAAGTCATAATTAAATAAAACTGGCAGGATGAAACGTCAAATAACATCTTCTCGAAATTGAAGCTAAATAGTAGGATAGTTTGGGAAGTCACCGAGGTTCGCCTCCCGATCTATGACTTCTCCTAGTTTTTCCTCATTTGGATTCCTCAAGAATGTTCTGAATTTGAGCCTTTCCCATTTGACACTCTTTGGTCCGATTTCGTTGAAAAGTCAT